ATTAGTGTTTCAATAATATCCTTTGTCATATGGGAATGAACGTGTTGGTAGAAGGTGCATCGCCGAAAATATTATTAAAATTTATGACTGTGTTGATTATGATTTTCTTTGATCAATTTAAAGTTTCCTATAAAAAAATTAAGTAAACCTTTTATTATTTTTTAAATTTTCAAATAAAAAAGATTAAATAAAAAAGATTTGCAAACATTAATTAATTAAACCTTCTACTAGTTTTAGTTGTTGAAAAAATAATAAGCAAAGTAAAACTTGTAAAGTAAAAGGTTTTTTTAATTGTGTAAAATTTAACTATTTTTAGTTAGCTACTAAAAATCAGTGTTCTAAATAGCGGTCGTGGCGGTCGATATATCGTCGCCATATCGGTATCGGTTATAAACCTTTACGATTTTGTTGAGGTGGTTTGGAATATCGTTTTTTTACGGCGAGGCGGTTTGCGGCGGTTTTTTTGCGGGTCAAACCGATATATCGGTCAACAAATCGGTTTTTTTTTAATTTAAATTAAAATGAAAATATGTTTTGATTTTTTTTTTCTCCAATTCTTTCAACTTCCAAAACCAAACGTACTACCCCGCAATTTATGCTTTGTTGTGTTTATATTAATTGTTGGTGAGAAAGACTTGCGTAGTATTTGTATTTCGTAAGAATCTTCTATTATATTATGATCTTATTATTTTTAAATTTTTGTTATTTATTGAGTAATTAGAATTATGTAATAACATATGAATATTATGTTGAAATATTCTTTTATATATATTTTGAGTATTTACAAATAATATTTAGAAATATATTACACTAAATTTAAAAACCGATATATTTCCGATTTATCTCCGATAAATCACCACCGCGCCGATTTATCGTGTGGCGGTACCTAACCGCCACGTACCCGATAACCGCCTTTTAGAACCTTGCTAAAAACAACAAATTAAATAAAGAAATAAAATCTACAATTAACTGGAAAAGAAAAAAAAGAGAGAGAAAAAAAAAAGGAAAAGGATGGCCCATGACACCTAAGGTCAAACCTTTCTTCTTCCACAACTTTGAAAAAGAAACAAAACAAATCCAATAACAATTTGCCAAGTGGCGGCTTCTTAAGAAGCGTAATTTGAATGACGCTTATTTGTAAAATTGAAATTGACCCAGAATTCGTCCTATTTGTAAAAATTTTTGGGCCAAATGGCCTAGAAAAAAAAATGACTCGTATAATAACAGGTCCTTGATATTAAAATTATATTACTAAACATAACTAATATACATTATCATTTATTTGCTTATTATATTTTTATGTTTCTTTTTTATTATATAATTGACTATTATTAAATCATGTTATCGCGCTTATACTAATAAAATACATTAATAACGACAGTAAATAAAATTTAAGAATTTATTTAACATCAATATTTATAATCTATCTTAGTCATTCTCAACTATTTTTTCTTATTTATAGAAATATTTCTTATATATGAGTATTTATTTTTAATTTTATTTTATTATTTTTTAATATTCCTTAATTGACTTGACATCTACAATGAAAAGTTCACCAATTTGAAAATCAAAAGTATATTAAGTTCATAATACTCGGCTAAATTTTTTTTTGACATAAACGTTCACTTACATGTTTATGATATGTCACTGAAAACCTCTATTATGAGTTTTATATGAAACAAAATTTCTTTAAAAAAAAATAAGAAAATAAACTTTGAATTATGAAAGAAATTATAATATATTTAAACATGATCATACTGTTAATATAACATAATATATTATTATTATTATTGATATTAGTAAATATAATAGTAATTAGTTTGAGTTTACACTATTATATTTTCATAGTTGTAGAATTGAAGTATTAAAAATTATATAAGAATTAATTTTAAATTTGAAACTACTTTAGGTATCTAATGGTTAACTTACACCAACAGGGTTCATTTTAATAAATTTTTACATATATATGCTTATAATATTAAGATCATTGGAAAACTCTTGAAATGTCACTCTAAAAAAAAGCATTGTTGAAATTTAATATATATATGAAAATAATAACGATAATAGAAAAAAAACTGTTAACATCATTTCTAATATATTAACAGGCCCTTGATATTAAAATTATATTACTAAAAAGTAAGTAACATACATTGTCATTTATTAACTTATTATGTTTTATGTTTTTTTTTTCCGATCATTGACTATGTTAAATAATATTATCACTTATACTAATAAAATTCATAAATAACGATAGTAAATAAAATTTAAGAACTTCTTTAACCTCGATATTTAAATATCAATATTTGTCATTCAACTATTTCATCTTATTGCTAGACTTATTTCTTATATATTGGTTATCAATATTTATTTTTAATTGTATTTTGTTATTTCTAAATAATGGTAATTAACCTGATAACGTTCACTTACATGTTTATGATATATCACTGAAAAACTATGTTATGAGTTTTGTATGAAATACATTTTATTTAAGCTTTAAGAAACTAAACTTCGATTTTAATTCGAAGTAAATTATAATATATGAAAAGATTATCATACTTTTAATATAATATAATATAAATAATAATTAGTTTGAGTTTACATATTACGTTTTCTAGGTGATAAAAATTGTATGAGAACTAATTTAAAATTTGGAACTACTTTAGGTATCTAATGCTTAATTTAAAATAAAAAAATTTATTTTAAAATAAAATTTTACATATATATGCTTATAATATATCATTGGAAATATTTTCAAATGTAGTTTTATACAAATTAAATTACATCAAAAATTTCAATATGTAGAAAAAATTACAATAAGAAGAAAATAAACTCTCACCTTAGTATAGATATAGCACATGAAAAAATTTAAATTACATTATCAAGCTATGTTAATTTATTATTTTCATTTTTGTTATTACAAAATTGACCATAATTAATTGATAATATAACTTTGTTATAAGGGGCATAATAGGAAACACAAAAATATTAAGAAACAAAAAAACATTCACGCTTTTGAAGTTGGTAGACATATACCAAAAAATTAATTTTAGCATCCATGCTTGGCTGGTTAAATTTGGAGAGCAAAATTGATTATTTAACAAGTGTGCTAATTTTTAGCATAGCTGTTGGAGCTCATTTTTTTTACAAAAGTTTTAAAATTTGGTAATATTTAGCTTATAGCACATCACTTGGAGATGTTCTAATTTTCTTGAGAATTCTTTGGGAAATTTGAAGTTTATAAGATGTTTATATAAATTTGAATAAAATAAAAATGGTCTAAAAAGGGATTTTTCTTAAGAATGCCGTAGTATATTTCGTGATGAAAGAAGCCTAGAACAAAATGCACATCCTCGCTCACTCCCATTCCAACATTTTCCAAATATTTTGATATGTCCCATAAACATATATGAATATGTTTTACCCAATAAATCTTGTTTTTTTTTATTATTATTATTCAAACGATAAATAAATAAGTATTCATGATTTCATTAATTCATAAACAAGAACGATTTATCCATTTCGATTCATCAAATAAAAAGAGCTTGGACCAAAAAGGAGATAAATGAAATATTTGATGAACTGACTGAATGTTACTTTATCATTATAAAACCTCAAGACATGTTACGTGTTGAACTCTATGTCCATTCGTATTGGAAACACATAAATGAAAAAAAAACACACGCTATTAATATATCTAATTTTATTTTATTAATAGAATCAATATGTGTTCTAGAAATATATATAATACATCATTGATTGTTATATTTTTCTCTAACCTTTGATTATCTCAAATAAAATCTAACACTTAATCCAAATATATAATCAAAACAAGGGCAACTTATTATTTAAGAATTAATCCGGTGTACCTACATGCTAAAGTCGATTGTATTAATGTACACAAGAGTAGGTTGAAATCTCTATATTCACATTCGAATGGCTCGAACCGTGACAGTTCACTCATTAGAGCATCTCTAGTCGAACTTCTAAAACCATTTTCATGTCAGATTTCCTAAAAAAAAGGAGTTGAATGTCCCTACACATCACCCTACAGTTAACTAGGAAAGGTTTAGTGAAAAAATGTGGGCTCATGTTTTCATTTTTTTTATTATCTATTTCAAGAAGTAAAATTGTCATGAATGTGCATCATGCCATCATGTTGTTCTACATTCTTCCACATTTTTTTCCTTTTTTTGTGTGTTAAGTAATGTTTAATTGTATTGTAATTTGACTATCTTACATTCTTTTAGTGATTATAATCTTAAATTTCATATAGGGGATCATTATAACAAATCCCAACTTTTGCTTACTTGAATATAAAAAAAATAAAAAATAAATAATTAATAGTAAATTACTTTATTACCCTTAATGAAAATCAAAACCAAAAAAATATTCAAATATTATTTTTCTTTCTTAAATACCAAATAATCAAAAATGCTCAAAACCCATTTGCCTCCTCACTCACAAACCCCTCACCTCCTTCACCTCCTTCTTCTCCCTCCCCCAAAAACCCTCTTAAAAAACCTCAAAACTAAAGAAATCAAAATCTTACACAACATGCAAAATGGCGTCAAATGACAATAGAATGGTAGTTTACGAGCAAGGAGAACCCATTAAGGTATGTATCCATGTATTTTTTGAGCTAAAACATCATTTTTTATTCTCTATTTTTTTTTAAATTCCGCCATCAACTTTCGACACATACAGGTCGAAATTGTGCTTATTTTCGACATGTATGTGTCGAAACACATAACAATTGATATTATACAGTTTTCAACGGGTAACTGTCGAATTTATACTCATTTTCGACACTTAAGTGTCGAAAATAGAGGTGAAATTCGACAGTTACCCGTCGAATTTGTCCATTATATTCGACACTTAGGTGTCGATTTTTTCCTGTTGCAAATTAAATTTACTTGTCTAATATTTTCTCCACTTTTGTGTAGATCGATTGCACCCATTCATTTACCACGTCAAAAAAATTCCCAACAAAAAAAGTTTTAATGGCATGGGTTCGTGAAGTATGTAAAAGAATTGGAATGGTGTTAATGATTGCGGGTTCGTGTGACGGGGGTAGAGGACGTAGGACACCGTCTGTAATTGTTCGTTGTGAGCGTGGGGGCCTTTATGCTGGCAAGAAGGTACCCGGTGATGATGATCAAAGACCGGGAAAAAGGAGCACCGGTTCAAAGAAATGCAATTGTCCGTTTAAATTGAAGGGGACAAAAGAACACAAGGATGATGAAAAGGCTGAGTGGAAATTGGATGTTTATAGTGGTATTCACAACCATAACTTGTTTGAAAACTTGCACGAACACTCTTATGCTGGAAGATTATCAAAGGAGCAGACTTCACTTGTTCACACTTTGAAGAAAGCAATGGTGAAACCAAGGGCAATTCTAAGATTATTGAAGGAAAATGACCCGTCTAATGTAACTGGTATGAAGACAGTTTACAATACTATCTCTAAGTTAAATTTCAATGAATTATCTGGGAGATCTCAATTGCAATTATTGTTCGCCAGGTTGAAAGAAGATGAATACCTCTCGTACCATAGATCGAACGAGTTGAATCCGATTACTGACTTGTTGTGGATCCACCCGAAATGCATTAAGTTGGCACAGTCGTATCCGTACATATTCGTCATCGATTGCACGTACAAGACCAATCGTTACAGACTCCCATTTCTTGAGATTGTGGGTTTTACTTGTACTAACATGACGTTCTCCATTGCCTTTGAATACTTGGATCACGAAAAGACGGAAAATTTCGAATGGGTGTTGCGTTGTTTGATGGAGGCCATGATAAGTTGTCCTTGGCCAAATTGCATTGTAACAGATCGAGATTTGGCTTTAATGAAAGTAGTGGCCAATGTGTATCCATCGAGTCATCACTTGCTGTGTCGGTGGCATGTGAACAAGAATATATTGGCCAATTATAAGAAAATGTTCACAAAGGACATCACCAAATGGAAGCAATTTCAGTCGGCTTTTTCGGCTCTTATTGAAAGAAATACTATAGAGGAGTTCAATGAGGATTGGGAGGCAATGGAAAGAACATTTGTCGGTTACCCGTCGGCTATAACATACGTAGCTAATTCATGGTTGGATCCGTACAAGGAGAAACTTGCATCGGTGTGGACAATTAAGTGTACTCATTTTGGAACGTACACTTCTAGTAGGGTGGAGGGGGCACACAGACGAATGAAAAGGGATGTGCATAATTCGACTGGCACCTTTGTGGATTTGTATACGAAAGTCAACAACCAAATTGTCGAACAATACAATGACATCAAAGCTTCTTTTGAAGTAAGTAAAAATACTTACGAACACACTTTCAAAACGTTGATATACAATGAGCTTCGTGGAAGTATCTCAAAATTCGCTCTGCAACTACTCAAAGTTGAGGTGGACAACGCGAAATTATTGCAACCGAGCGATATGGGTTGCAGTTCATCCGAACAACTCACGGTCTACCATGTTGCCATGAACTTCATGAGTATGTTGTTGTGAACAAATGTCCTATCCCACTTGAGTTAATAAGCTCGTATTGGAAACACATGAGCATGGAGCCCGTCGCGACCATAGACGAAGTCATTCTACCAACCCTCGATGAAGAATTATTGGAATACCAGAAGCTCTTTGAATGTGCCGATCTCGATGCAAAGACTCAATTGCACAACCATTTGAGACATTTTACCCACCCAGAGAAGACTAACCTTACGGAGCCAAGTGAAAAAGTTGTTAGCAAAGGTCGACTGGCAAAGAATAAGAACGACAAATCAAGCACCCGTGACAAATCACATTTTGAGTATGTGGAGCCAAAGAAAAAAAAAATCGAAGCGAGCTAGTTGTTCTCCAAAGGTAAATGTCGCTACTATCGTCTCATTTCGTTGTAGTTGTTGTATTTTATAATTGTGCTAAGTAATTTTGTGTAATATACTGCAGCTTATACCTTTCAAGCAACCTGTATCGAAGAGATTTAGAGTGCCCTCGAATGATTCTATTAGCACTATACCAACTCAAAGAGTCAGGGAAAAGCACTATACCGACGCAAGAGTCGTTCAAACTATTATTTGAAGATGCAAATGCAGGATTGCCACCATTTGATCAGCAAAAATAAGTACATTGAGACGATCCATCCACGATTTCGTATGCATGTTCGAGAAATCATCAATGTCGGTTCAGATGGCCACTGTGGATTTTGGGCAGTTTCCTCTATGATGGAATTTGGAGAAGATGAATGGGGTTGAGTACGAGATGACATGCTACGGGAGTTGACTGGTAATTTTTCCATTTACACGGCCATGCACCGTGGCGAAGAAACCGTTAGAAGCATGCAAACTATTGTGAGTAACTGGGATGTTCCTGCCACTCGTGACCATTGGATGTAGCAATGTAGCATAAACAACATATTCTAAGTGTTTTGGACAAAAAAAAAAAATAGAAATTGCAAATTATCAAAAAAATTCCATTTAAAACAATCAAAATCCATATAAAACTAAATTAAAAAAAAACATCTAAACCAAACAACATCCATCTAAAAAAAAAAAAAACATCAAAATCAAACAAAATCCATCAAAAATACTTAATGTCCTAAAACACACAAGACTAATCCTGTGTTTTTTTCTTCCTACTAAACACGCGTTTCACAACTGCTTGTGTGGCATCAGACGAGCTCGATGGCGGTGGAAGTGGCTCCATCGAGCTAGCTGGAGTGGTGGTGGGGCATCCGACGAGCTCGATGGAGGTGGAAGTGGGGCATCCGGCTCAATCAATCTAACAATATCATTTAGGGTCCACCACATGACCGTATGAGCGTCGGATGGCACAAGTCCCTGCACATCGCTAAGTGTGCCCTTCACCAACTCCAAAATTTGCAAAAGTTGGACCTCCTTATCAGGACCACCCCCTAGACGAACTTCACGTGGTCGAGGTCTATCCGCCTGGGGTTGAGGTGAATGGGCTCTATGCCTACTGAGTTGTAACATGCATATGGGCCGGAACCAATTCATGTAGTCCGGTGAAGTGTCCGCCTCCCCGAGTTCAACTTCAACGGACCTCGACTCCTTGTCCAGACAATACTCCTCCCACCGATCAGAGAATCGTTCGCCATACGCAGCGAATATTGAGTTCTGGACTGGTCGACCTTTGTTAACTAGAGCTTTGTACATATCTTTTGACATGTATATGTTAAGTGTATATTTATACACTTAATTGTACCTTTTAATTGGAGCTTTTGATGTGTTTTTACGATAATTGGTGCTTAATATGGTTATTAATTGTATTTTAGGTGCAAATTGAAGAATTGGCAACTTTTGGGGTGAAAACTGCAAATTCAGAGAAAAAGTGGGCCAAAAGTGAAAAAATCAGATTTCTGAAGAATTAAAAGACCGCACGGCCGTGCGGATTTTAGTTCAAAATCTCACACGGCCGTCCGGGTGGACGTGATGGCGCAGTGAAGGAAACTCAATTATACAAGGAAACCCGCCCTATTAGACTTTTGCACCCTATTTAAAGGCCAAGAGCACACAATTAGACGGACCTTTTAATCTTTTACCTTTCATCTTTAATCTTTAGGTTTTTATTTTTCATCTTTCTACACGCGATCAAGGAGCACAAGAACGAAGACGAAGACTTGACGAATCTTCATCCTAGTTCTCCTCTTTGATTTTTATTTATAGCTTTTATGATTTTTCGTATTTTTACTATGTTTTTCGTAGCGAACATGAGTAGCTAAGTTTTTATTCTAGGATTTTATTGGAACCCTATGTGGTAATTCAAACCTATTTTTCTACTTTTATGCAAGTTTAATTCTTCGATTATTTCTTCTATCTTGATCGTATTTAGTGCATGAGCGTAGCTAACTTATGTTGCTATTTGTTATTGTTAGAATTGATTGACATATAGTTTTAATAATTAGAACAGGGATAGAAGAGCCTTCGAGTAGTTTTTCACCGAATGCGTGTGTTGATTGCATGACATATAGTGAATCTTTTATGAATAATAGGTTTATAGCGCAGCGACAAATAGTGAATCTTTTATGAATTCTAGGATTTTATTGGAACCCTATCGTTTACGAGACTTGTTATTTAATGCTTTATTTATACTAGGTTTGCATAGACATATAGTGAATCTTTTATGAATAATAGGTTTATAGCGCAGCGACAGCTGGTTATGAATAATTTCGTGTCTTGGGTTAATAATCGGGAATCGTAACTTGCATGATAGGAGATTAATTGGGTGAAGAATTATCGCATAGGGGGAAGATAAAATCCTAGATCCGTTTTATATTGATATTTTTCTCGTGTTTAATTGCTTTCTTAATTAGTTTAATTTATTTAGTTAATTAATTTGACAACCCTGCGTAGGCTGAATAAAAATCATAATTGTTAGGATTTGGTACTTAGGATTAAATAATTTGCGTATTCCCTGTGGGATCGACATCCGACTCTCACGAGTCTACTTTACTACTTGTTTGCGATACGTACACTTGCGTGTTGGTATTTAGCACCCAACAGTATACAAGACCTGGAATAATTTGGACCCGGTTGAACTGCCTCAACACTCTATCCGGATGATATGCCTCGAAGTGGTCCATGCAGCATATCATCCCACTAAACCAAACAGAATCTGGCATCGGGAAACGATCACGAGTAGCCGTGTACAGTGACCATAAAACCTAATAAAATAAATAAAAAATTAGATTTAAAAACCTACTTAAGTAGTAATAACAAATTATTAAACTGGTATTTTACCTGATCGGGGATCAAATCATCTAATCGAGATCGCAAGTACGACGCTTGTTCAGGTGTTGAAGTAGTCTTTGACTGAGGCTCCCATCAGCTCGCTAATGGCCCCTCGAATTCCGTCTTTAATGTACCACCCGCCAAATAAGAAAAGTGCTCGTAAATCCATGATTGGAAGAGAGTCAGCCAGCCAGCCATCGAGTTCGTTGAATTTTGTGAGGCTGACGAAAGCTCATCGTACAACCGGCAAAGACATGCAGTGCCCCAAGCATACTCGCCGATTCGATCCAAATCAGAGACGAGATTTAGATACTCCACGCTTACCATGTTTCATGTCTTGTCGCACAGTATAGTACACCCGAGCAAAAATAACAAATACGCCCGAATGGCGTATGTCCCCTTCTCCGCACTGTCTATCATGGTCACCTTGCTAAATTTAGCCTTCAACCATTCCAGCTTCACCGCTTTCTTCTTGTCTACATCGTCCGGGTACTCACCTAGAAACTTGAACATCAAACTATTGGGCTTCGTTTTGGAATCACGGATCAAACGCTTGCAAGATACAGTACGCCCAACAACTGGCAAACCGACCAACGTACTCACATCATCAAGTGTGATGGTCATCTCTCCAACAGGTAAATGAAATGTGTTGGTAGCTGGCTGCCATCTCTCTATGAAGGCTCTAAGTAGATGGCCGTCCACAGTGTTGTACGATGCTTGTACAACTGACATTAATCCAGCTCTTTGTATTTCCTCTGAATAAATGGCGCCGGAACCAAGCCTTTCAAAGCTCCTGTGTGATTCCGAATTCGAAATTCTGAGCCGCGCTCCGAGCGCTCTGGACCTCCGTTCACAATATGATAAGCAATGTGCTTATCAAAATTTGTGTACAATTCCGGTATCTCGGGACCTCGGACCGGTTCGTTGCTCGAATTACCAACTTCTACAGTCGAGGGTAGAGCCGGCACCGGATTCGTTGAGGAAGAACCCTCTTCAGACTTCTTCTTGGTCGTGGTCTTTTTCTTGGTCGTGATTGACTTGCCCTTACCCTTATCGGATAATTCCTTCCTCTTCTTACGGTTCGAGACAGTCGGAGGTATACGAGGTTCACGTGGTTCTTCCACTGCAAAATAACACACAAATAAAAATAAATATATATAATATAAACACAAACAAATAAAAATAGGAAATAAAAAAAATTAATAAAAAAAAACTACACATGCAGTAAGAATTCGACAGTGTTCTGTCGAATTATCAAACATTAATTTCAAAATTTTCACAGAAATCGAGAACTAAATTTCGATTTTTGCAGAATTTTCAACATCAATCTGTCGAAAATTTTGCAAAAATCGACATATACAGGTCGATTTTTGTGAACGAGGAACAACCTACGAATCTCAAATCAATGCTCAAACAGACTAAAATTAGATGCACCCATTACTAATTAACGATCATTCCTACCTAAAACAATCAAATCCTAATTACCCATATCAAACAATCAAATCCTAAATAAATATTAAAGAAAAAAATCGAAAACAAATATTACTTGTGATAACAAAGGCTTCGGCGGCTTGATAACAATGGAGGTTTCGGCGGCGGCCGGCGGCGGCGAGGGTTGCAGCGGCGGTGAACGACGGTGGAGGGGAGGAGCAACGGTGAGGGAATTTGAAAGAAAAGGGGTTTTTTCTATTTGATTTTAAATAAGTAATTGATATTTTGGTTTTTGTACTTTTCTTTTTATTTTGGTATTAAAGTAAAAAAAAA